CTTGGGGCCCTGCCCCACTGCCAGGGCCCCACCTGAGCAGGCTTTTCCACCCAGCTGTTCTGCATCCCTGCCTGTGTTCAGTAGGTAAGCAAGGACCCTGGCATGCTGGGCCCAGGAGCTCACCCACACAGGTCAGCACAGAATGCCAAATGTTCAGATTCCTGTGGTGTCCTTCTAAATGGGCTGCCGTGAGTGCAGCGTTCACAGGTCGGCTGCTTGGAGGGTTGGGTGTACTAGTCTGCCTGGTTCCTCCGGGCCACACTTCACAAGGGCATTTTTTACATTGCCAAATAAGATGGAGGGAGTTACTACTTTAGTTTTACTCTAGACTGTTCTGATTTATTTTCATTGAGAGTTCTTCATCAGAAGGTTTTGTAAGGCATATTGCATTTCCACATTTAGACATATCTCTCTTTCAACTTTAGTTTAACAGGTACCTGGTTCCCTACCCAGGTCTGGAGTCTAGGACTCAGGGGGATGGGTCCAGGATAAAGCCAAAGAACAGTCAGGGACCAATATAAATCTGTGAAGGGGCACTTTTCAGGGGTTCAGAAAGTCTTCTTGGGCAGGGCACTAGATGGTCAGCTTGGCCCTGATAAATGAAAGTTTGATTCATGTCCTATAGTAAACAGTATAAAGTCACAGTGCTGCAGCTCCAGACCCTTACCAGGGGTGGGGTGAGGGTGGGGTGTGAGTCCTTCTGAGCTCAGCACGAAGTCAAACATAGTTGGTATTTCAAGAATTACCTCAGGATTGTTTTTAAAATTCCCCAAATCAGGTTAGATATTATACTATTATTTTTGTTTGTTTTAAGTAATAAAGTAAAACTTTGATTAACTGGGTCCTTCAAATAAGTAGAATTTTATATGCAGCAGACTTTGTTGTGAAAGGCAAGTCAGAAACACATACACACACACACACACACACACACACATACACACATACACACACGCATGCAGACTATCATTTTTTTAAAGAACTCAAGATAGCCAAGGAGCAATAATTGGCTGCCCAAATTCCCCTCAAGGCCACAGTGGGTCCTGACTAAGCCATACATTCTCTGGGGACTGTACTTTGTACCACTCTGTATTCCCTTCTGGTTCTAACCCAGAGCCTTATGCATTTTAGGGTGTTGGCTATTTGGCAATGGGTTAGATGCTGGATGTGTCTGCTGGTGTTGGTGGTGTGGTTAGGTTTGAAATCATCCTCCTGTTTCTTGTTGAGTGCTTTGGAGTCAAACAGAATTGGGTTTAAAAACTTGTTCTAACAATCACCATTGGTATCAACTAGGGCAAATTGCTCAACCCTCCACTTAATTTGTGGGTTGTAAGAATCAGCAATTAAATATTTAGGGTCTGGCAGCTGCTGTTACTGTTGTTATTTTCTGGTCTTGAAAGTAGAAGTTTCCTGGCTGGCCGGTCAGCTTTCCGTGGTCGTGAGCTCTCCTGCGAGTTGTAATTGCATCTCTGTTAGAGGCGTGGCTCCTATTCTGTGAGCGGCCTCCGGTGAGGAGGTGCTGTTGGAGCTGGATCACGAGGGTGGAATGGTTGCTTCAAGGCAGAGAGGCTGGATGGGAAAGTCCTTCCAAGCACAGGGAACAGAGTATGCGAAGACTTGAGCGTGAGGGCAGAGGGCATGGGAAGAAAGTTGGGCATGGCCCAAGTTGGGGGTATAGGTGATGGCTATGAACAGACCTGTGGGAGGCCAGCATGTGGGCAGGAGCCAGAGCACAGAAGGCGTTGCAGATGAGGCTAAACTTGGGTTATCAGTAATAGAGTCCAGTTGATATTTTAGTGCAGTTCTTCTTTTCTTCATTAATTTTATGTAAGTTTTCAATGAGTCTTTGAACAAAATAGTTCCCTTTTAAAAATTAGGTTATTGCACCTGGAGCCAGCTGTAGGGTATGAGGAGAACACCTGCTGGCACGAGACTGCTGACCCAAGTCATGGTAGCATTTGGTGTCTTGGCCAGCAGGTCTCACCTGGCCGACCCCTCTGCCCTCCGCATCAGGTCGACAATTAGACGGATTGAAATGTAGCCAATGCTGGTTTGTCCACGCTTTTACATCACTATGTTTTTGCCTCTGGATGTCTCCTGTCCAGTGACTCTGTAATAACTCTGGCCATGGACTGTGGCAACTCGTGAGTGAAGCGTGTTTGTGAACTCAGCTCTGTGCTGGAGCAGTCTGGAGATGCGCAGGCAGCGTTCGGCAGCGTAGGGACACTCGTCCCGGGGCTGTTTCCGGCACTGCTTCCCACCTCTGAGCCAGCTGAGGTTTGGGGAAAGGGTGAGAAGGCAGCACCGCCTTGCCAGGCCCTCTCCCCAAGCTGTGTGTTGAGCATCCCTCCCCGCACCCCTGTGTGCCAGAGAAGTTTGGCAGGTGTATCGCAGCGCACAGACCTGCTGGTGGCTGGAGGGTTGGAATCCCTGCCTGTGCTCTGGGCTTTCCTGCTTCTCTCCTCTGCAGACATCTCTCATGCTGTCCCTCTTGCCTCACTCCCAGGTGTCCTTTCCATCCTTGGAGCTCAGCAGTTCTACTATTGTTCTTTCTGTCTGGTTCCCTTAAATCCAGCCCACACCTTTTCAACTCCATATCCTGAGTCAAGTGTTTGAAAGCTGTTATTTCATGTTAATTAGAAGTTCTTTTTCCAGCCAAAAAGCCTTGCACAGAACTGTTCCCCCAAGCTGAAGCTTAGATGCATGCTTTGGTGTTTTGTACTTTGGGTGCAGCGAAAGGGCTCGTGGTAATTGCCGTGAGAGCTGCATCGCCGCCCACCGAGCAGGGGAACCTTCCCACCCGCTCTGTGGCCCTCCTCTGAGCCTGGCCGAGCCAGAGGGGTTCCGCATGCCTGTAAGATCCTCCCTCTGTGCAGTACCAGCGGCATGGCCTTCTGCCTCACCACTGTCCTGGGGTGTCTCCCCTGGGTACAGTTGCCTAACAGTCACCCCTCATCCAGAGGAGTTTCTGGGCCTCTGGGTAGAGTCCACCAAGGCGGATAGGTGACCACTGGCAGGTATCACTGCCTTTAACAAGCCTCCCATGGGACCTGAGTTTGGTGGAGATTCTGGGGGGAAGGGACTCCTGCCACATTCTGGACTCTGCAGAACCAGCTTTCAGTTCCTTTAAAAACCCCTTGGGACACCCAGAGTGGCTGCCATTCCCCGTAAGTGGCCCCAGTAAGGCTTCAGGGGAACTTCAGGCTGTGAAGCACAGGCCAAACCCCTTCTCACATCTGGCCGTGCTGCTCTCTGCCCTTCTGCTTCTAGGCCAGAGACTGTGTCCTTCCCTCCATCAGGGCCATCGTCCCATCAGCCCAGATTCTGCAAACCCTGGTTGAGGTGGTTGCTGCCTAGAACCCCCTAGGAGCCACCAGAACCCCTTAGGCTCCCTTTGTTCCACGCAGAGGAAGTGGTTGGTGCTGACGCAGTCCTGAGCTTGGGTGGTGGCAGCAGGACCATTCTCATTCATCACTTGCAGTGGGAAGAGACCTGGCTCCTCAGGGACCTCCGGAGAAGGCTGTCTCACCTGCAAGGTCAAGGAACTCTCCTGTGTATTTGAGATTGCTGGCAACTCATCTCCATCTCCTGTGGTTTACAGAGAAGTTGTCCACGAGCAGATGTTGAGGAAAGGCCTGTAGACCTCAGCACAGTGCAAGGCTGTGAGAGGAGGACAGGGAGAGGGGTCAAGGCTCTGACCGTCATGAGGAAAATCACTTCCAGAAAACACATGGCCAGAGGGCAGCTACACAGCCTTGGTGTATAGGACACACCTGCCAAGAGAGGCCTGGTACACAGCAGACCTTCAGTGACTGCAGCAGTCGCTACCTCCCTTTAACCACAAACACCAGCCGCTCTGGGCCTCACTGGGTAGAAGGTGCAGGTGTGGCAGTGGCATCACCAGGAGACTTAGTCACTGACGCTGGGCTTTAGCTGCGCCGAAGAGGAGCTGGAGAGAGGTAGACTGGTAGAGACTGCTCTCGAGATGCGGCGTACATAGCAATGGGGCTCAAGAAGCATGGTGTCTGGCCAGTGGCTTGCATTGGCAGAACTAAAGCATCCCATAGGATTCGAGGCGTGGGAGGGGATACATGGCACCGTGAGAGGAGAATGGCCAGGAGTGGTGTCTGTGGGGGCTAGAGAATTGGGACATGTTGCTGCAGGCAGTAAGAATCATTGCTGGGACTAAAAAGATTGGGTTTCTGAGAGCTGGACAGGAAGACCACTGGGAGGGAACCTGGCCCCGTGCTGGGGCTTCCTCCAGGACAGTGAGTGGTGATGAGTCCAGGGACCAAAACACTGAGGTCTGCAGCCACACAGGCTGATGTCCACAGAGAGACAGGAGACTCTGGAGCTGGGTATGGCTGCTGGGCCAAGAAAGCGAAGGTTCCGAGCCTAGCACTCAGGTCTGGAGGGAGGCTGAAGCCAGTGGTGGGGACAAAACTAGGGAAAAGACGCCTTGGTGACTCTGGGGTATGTTACTGGGTAGCCCCCGAATAGCAGGCTGCGCCGACCAAGCAGGGAGCGCCTGCTCAGCACCCCTTTGTGTGCCTTCAGGCCAGGCTTTCCAAGCTTCCCAGATGATAAGCAGCGCAGAGGGTTTTCTGTAGATATTTATATCAATGGAGTCACATCCCTTGTGTAATTTTGTAAATAAATCAGCACTCACTTTTAATGATGTTTCATAGATAAGTTGGTTTTGTTCTAAAAGACATGCTCTTAATAAAATCCCAGTGTTCAAAGTAAAAGTGGCTGCTCTGATGCGCTAACCCCACCACAGTTAGTTGCCCTGCACTTGCATTTGCCTCCCTGGTGAGACTTACGCAAAGGCAGACATGGAGCTGGGGTTCTAGAATGCTTGGCGCTGTAGCCACTGTCCCCTACAACACTCAGGTATGTCCCCATTCTGAGTGCAGCTGCCCCTGGCTGAGCCCACCTCTCTGTGTGTTCAAGTGGCAGCTCCCTGGCATGACCTGAGTTGTTCTCCCTGTCTTCCCCTGTAGACTACTGTTTTCCAAAGTGAAGTTGGAGTCCCTCTGCCGGGGCCCGGATGAAGCACTGCTCACCTGTAAGCACATGTTACAGATATGGAAATCCTGCTACAACCTGACCAATCCCAGGTAAGAGGCCAGTGGCGCCTGTTTTGTGTGGCTTTTGCATGGGTCTCCACCTATCAGTACCATCTCTGATAGACCTTTAGTGGGCATCAAATAGTAGGGATGGAGCTTCACATCACTTTAAGGAACTTCTCTTCCAGAGGCTGATGGGGCCTTCAAGCTATGGGCCATGGTGACCTCTAGGCACATCTGGTAATGGTGCTTTCTCCAGTGTCTCTCTACCAGCCATTTACTTAACTTCTGTGACAAGTCTGACCATCTGCCTGGTAATGAGAGTCTATCCTAGCCAGTGATATATATTCCAGGTGGGGATCTTGCAATAGAGCTGAACCTGCACAGTCCTACTAAGGACAGAGGAAATTGTTCTCAGCATGATAAAATATAATTTCAAAAAAATTAAAATCACTTTTCATACAAATATAAACTAAACACATGTCAAAGTTTCTACTTACCACACTAACTAAGTACAGTGTTAAGACTGGATCAAAGAATAATTTGAAAAACATTTGTATAGGCAGAAATGCTGAAATGAATTTGCAAATAGATGCAAAAAACAGTATCCTATGAGACAATGAACTGCATTGTTTGGGGTTATGTTCTCGACAGGGTAGAGATCAACTGTAGTTCTACCAGACAAAACCCATTTGTCTTATTATCAGTTTTCTGTGGTTAGTTTTTGCCCTTTAAAGCCGTAAAGTACCCCAGTTAACTTTGGCTTCCTGTTAAAGCCAAAGGTGCCACCCTTTAGAGGCAGCCGACCTGGGGAATGGGGACCAGTCACCCCCAGAAGCCCACTGCAGACACCTTGGGAACCCATTTGCCCATTTCTAAGCCTTGGGCACTTTTTCCTGACATGTTTGGGTGACTAAGTGTCCCCTGCCCTGGGGAGGAAGTAATCTAATGCAGAGGGACCCAATGAGTCAGGCGAATTCACAAAACTGCTCCTGCACTTGAACTTTCCAAGTTCATGGCAAGGTGTATGGACAGCCCCTGTTATGCTCTGAAGAATCTGGAGCCTGAAAATGGTAAATGAGCACCAATGGTGTGGGCTGGTGGCCATGGTCTGCAAAGAACTGTGGAAAGGCAAAGTGGGGGTGTAGTTAGGCACCACAGAACAAAGGCAGGGCTCCCTGTGAGATTTTGTTTTACAAAAGCTTCTGCAGTTAAAAAAAAAAAAACAGTAGTGTTCAAAATCAGGGCTCTGTGAAGGGGCTGGCCACTGTGAACTGACCCTGGCTAGAACTGTGACCAGCCTATGGTGGAGCAGCTGAAGGAGAGGCTCAGCCTGGAAAGCCAGCCACAAGGGCTGATGGTCTCCTGTGACTGTGGGTCCTTCTTCTTGGTGAAGTATAAGAATGAGGCTGGTCTCTTCCCTCTCATGCCGTTGATCTGACAGTCTTAAGTCTGTAAGCAAAATGGGAAAGCCTATATTTGTCTCCCCGAGGCCCCCACCCGTGGCGTATCAGTAGCATCAGGATTTGGGGAGCCTTTGCCTCATCACGGAGCTAACAGCAGATACTGCCCCAGCTGGTTGCCTCCGTGCTGGAGCACATCCTTCGCCAGTACCCCCTTTAAAAAGGAGAAAATAAACCCATCAGCTTTCGTGTTGCCAATTTTCCCTCAGCTCTCCACACCTCTCCCACCTCCCCACATTTCCTCCCACTTAGCAACCAAGAATATTGAATGTGAGGAGAAAGAAATAGCAGAATTGGAAAGCTTTTTAAAAATACTTAACCAAATGTTGGGCTCTGACCATACTTCCTCCGTTTCCTGCAGGATCTCTCGGGGCAGAGCAGAAAGGACTCGGCTTTGGGCACAGAGCCTGGGTGGGGTTGGGATAGTGGAGGAGGCTCCTGCAGTTACTCAGAGCTGCTTTTTCCAAAGCATGGGGCGGGGGACAGTGGGGTGGGGGGTAGTACTGAGCAGCTTCTTATTAAGAAGCTTCCTGTTTTGTTTTATTTTTTAACTTTATTTTCTCTGGGATATAAATATATACTTCTCCAGCAGTCCTTACCATTGGGCAAATTTAGCTGTGCTCCCAGTCTGCATGGGTAAGCAGTGACCCTGGCCATAGAGGAAATCATAAAGAGGGAGGGCAGTGTGTTGTGGGGTGAGCACACATCCTAGCCTCCAGATGAGGCAAGGTGGGACCAGCAGCCTAGAGGTTGTCTTTGGGTCACACCAGGCTTTAGAAAAGGGTAGAATCACATGAACAAGTGCACGAGAAGCATCCCTTCCTAAAAATAAAACAAACTGAAAGCTAAGCAGAAAGATTTTGGTAGGAAGCAGTTGATTTCTGTCTGGAGTAGGTTCATGCTGACTTCCTGGCTCCTGGCCCCCTGGCTTCTGCACATGCACAGTTGCAGCAGGGCCCTTTGCTCCACCTGCCAGGAAGCTTCCAGCCCTCCCACCTTTTTCCCCTGCTGAGTCCATCCAGAGGCTCGGCACAGGCCCCCAGGGCTGCAAGCAGCCTAGGAGGTGGTGGGCAGTCACTGGGAGGGAGTGGCCACACTGAAAACAGACGTGGTCCCTGCAGCTCCTGCCCTCTTTATTTTTGCTCCTGGCCGAGCTGAGCTTGGGAAGCCTTGGCTAGCAGGTCTCCTGTACTTGCAGAATGCAGCTCTGGCTGCAGACTCAGTGGTGGTGGCATCTCCAGCTCATGGTACCTATGACAGGGTGTTTGGAGCTTCAGAAGCCTTCGTTTTCTTTCCCATGGTCTGCAGTTTTGCTTGCATTTAGGATAGAAATCTATCTAGTATTTTGTCTTCCCTTCCTTAGTAAAATACAAAGCTCCCTGAGTTTTTGTGAATATTGACTTGGCCACTTAGGACAGTGCGAATCTGACCAGAATGTCACCAGAAGGCCCCAGCAGGCTGCTTGCCTGGATAGCACAGCACTTCAGCAAGGCTCACTAATGACCACGGTTATTTAAATTCACAGTGCCAGCACTGCACTGGCGTTAATGTGCTAGCTAAAGGAGGGTAAATGACTTGCCTCAGTTTGCCCAATTAAATGAGCAGTAGAGCTGTGATTCACAGCCAGGTCTGCCTGACACCAGAGCTCGCTCCATGGCAGGGGGCCACCTCTCCCAAGGCAATGGCCAGCTTCCTTCCTTCCTTCCTTCCTTCCTTCCTTCCTTCCTTCCTTCCTTCCTTCCTTCCTTCCTTCCTTCCTTCCTTAATTGCTAACTACGTCTTTCCCTCTTCATGCCACTTTGATTCCTAAGTCCTATTTCAGTCACTTACCAACAAATAGTATTTAAAGTTAGCGTGCGCGTGCGCACACACGCGCATGCACACACACACACACACACACACACACACACACACACACTTTCTTTGCTCTGATCTCAGTTGGAAGCTGGAGACCCCATGTCATGCTCACAGCTACCAGCATTTGGGCAGAGCTTTTCTTTACAGGGACCATTCTTTCATTTCATCTCCAAGGAAGACAAATAAAACGGGCAGATGTCATGTTATAGCATTCCCATTTTACTGAAGGTAAGGTTGAGGCTTGGCTATTTTAGGAATAGGCCCTTGATTCTATAGGCCCAGGAAGCCTAGGGAAAAAAAAAAAAAAGTAAAAGTTCCTCTCTGTCTGCCTGTGCTCTGCCCTCCACTCCTTTGTCCTTGTATTTTTGTGTGCCACAAATTTCCCAGGAGTTGAGAAGTGGCAAGAAGTCCAGGGTTCTGACTCCTGGTCCACCACCACCTCTTCCCTCTGGGTGGGCTGTGGACCATAAAGATTTCCAGGAGAGGCTTTCAATTTTTGGTGTCACGTTAACTGGCATTACAATATACAGTATATCTGAATCTTCATTCGTGATGAGGAAGAGAAATTCACTGCATGTGTGCATCTAGGCAAGTGGATACCTCAGCTTGTGTGCCACGGCTCAGGGGTCCTTCTACTTTGCTCACCTAGACCACTTCTCAGCACTGCTGAGCAGGAACGGCTTCTCTCTCTTCCAGCCCACCTCATTTTTTTAATATGTATAATTTTTTAGTTATAGATGGACACAATACCTTTATTTTATTTTAGGATCAAACCCAGGGCCTCACACATGCTAGGCAAGCACTCCACACTGAACCACAGCCTCAGCCCTAGCCCTCACTGGGAATTGCTCCCATCAGCCTCAGGGCCAGACATAGGAGAGGAGAGGTGAGGTGCTGGGGGGTCCATGGGAACTGCCCATGAAGGCAGTGTCCAGAGGGAGAAAGGAAGGTAACTTTCAGTCTGTGTGAGAGAGACTGGCCAGGGAGAACTCAGGAGTCTCCAGAGTTGACCAAGACATTCATTCCCTAGCTCTTTTCCCCATGATCTGTGGGCTTTCGCAAAGGCAAGTCTTGACTGGATAAAACTCTACACCATGTAAATGAAGAACTAAAAATTGGTTAAAGCAACAAGCAAAATGTTTAATCAGTCACAAATACCTAATTATTTTTAGACAGAAAACATTCAGTATGGAACAAAACAGCTCCATTTTGAATGGTCAATTGTTGCTTATATACTCTTTTCGTGGGGGAACTATGGAAGGCAAACTGAGGTAATAACTACTCAAAACTTCCCCACTGGTGGAGGGACAAGGGACATGGGCCCTGTGTTGTTGTCAGTGAGCAAGGTTCACAAATTAGTATTATGGGCTCAGTTGGGGTTTCTAGTGTTTGGAGTAGGAGGCCCTTGGCCCGGCCTCCCACACCTCCTACGGCTGCCCCAGAAGGCAGGGCAGATGTCTCCAGGAAGCAGCCAGCCACGTCAACCCCAGATGCATATTTGGAGAGGGAGTATTCATAATGACACCTGCCATGTGTCATGAAGTCACACCCCTTCAGAATGTTCTGTCTACATCTACAGCTTATTCCCTGCTTACCCAGTTCTGTGTAGAAAGATAATCCTTATCCTCCAACCTGGCCAGGGAAGTCACCAAGGCACAGGGAACTGGCTTTGCTCAAAATGATTACTCCTGAGTGAGAGATGTGGGATGGGACCCAAGACCTCCAGCTGGGTTCCAGGACCCACTTTCCGGGTCCTTTCAAAGCAGCACACATGGCAGCCAAACCCATGCTCTGTAGCTTGGCGAAGCAGCACTGCGGCTGAGCCACGTCCCAGGTCTGGCCACCACGTGGCCAGGCAGCCCTTCCCCTGCCATGCCAGATCCTTATTACGAATCCTGGAATCTCCACAGTGATGAAAAGTGTCTCTATATTTCGGGACAGTCTCCCATGTGGGGGGCTATTGCCATATTCAGATAATTAACCCTTTGTAATATTTATATCAAAAATGCTACCTGAGCAGACTGGTGCTGGATACATTTAGCCAGATTTGTAATTATTGAAAATGCACATGTTCTTTTATGTCTTCTCCTTAGAGACACTGATTGTTTCTCAGTTGTGGAAATAATTAATAGAGCATTTCCAGCGAGCCTATAGGGATGGTGTAATAAGTGTCGGCTGACACAGTCCCACCAAGGACGTTTCCTCCGCTTCCTGCGGACGGACCCCTCTGACTGCATCACTGGGCGGGGACACTGCAGCCTGTGAACTGCACTGACTTTCATACCAAACCTTGTTTGTACTGATTTTAGCAGCAGCTGCACAGAGGAAGGAAATTGTGTCCCTTTATTGTAGAATTTGAACTTCTTAACAATAACCAAAAAAACACTTAGAGCCCCCAGATAGATATCGTGACAGAGGCAGGGGCAGGGAAGGGGGGAAACAACAGTGTTTACTTAAAAACTTCCCAGAATTGCAAAAAAACAAAGTCTTTGGGGGCTAAGTTCCCTTAACTCTTTGATCCCCACAGGCCTGGGTGGTGTCCATGCGACTTTGCTGGATGGATGGTGCCAGGAGGGAGGGGGGATTCAGCAGGGGGGGATGGCATTTGGAGCGGCAAGTGGTTGTCAAGACCCTGCATGTTCTTCCCAAGGCCCTTCAAGTCTCCTCAGCCAGCCTTCTCAGAACCTCAGCTGGACAGGGCCCCAGCTCCAGCTCTGCTGTGACCAGCTCCTCATGTCTCCTCACGGCACTTGTCCCTCAGTATTAAATAGCCTGTCACCCATGCAGTGCATCTCAAGGCTTGTCTTTGGGTCATGTTTGAGCCCATGCCTGCGCTCACCCTCTGAGAAGCAGGCCAGGGGTCCTCAATTCTAGCAGCTGCAACATAGAACCATCTGAGGAGCTTTGAAATTTGCCCCAGAAATTCCCATTTGTTTGTCTGGAGTGGCCTGGGCATCAGGGGTCTTTAGAAATGTTCTGGCTGTTTTCTCAGGACTCGAGGTTCAGGAATGTCTGTGTGGACTGTTGGCTCATGAAGTCATCTTGGAGGGTGGGGCATGTCAGGGCTTCCACGGGTCCTCAGTCTTCATAGCACAGAATAACAACCAGTTTCCCCATCTGGTGGCTGGAGAACCTGGCTTGCAGTTCTCATCTTCATATCTTTTATAATGACACAAGAGACTAAAATGAATTAGGGTCCCGTGGGGTGGCTTAAGCACGTTTGTGGTACTGAATGCTCAAAGAAATCCCAGCCCAGCCTGAGCCAGGAAGCGGGAAGATTCGGAGGCGCATTCAAAGCCCATCCAAAAGTGTCCACTGCACCTTACTGGCCCAGTGGTACCGGTTGAGTCTCTGACCCTCCCCTCCCACTTCTCAGGTGACTGACATTCACAGTGTATTTTGCAGTGACTCTGGACGTGGGAGCAGCCTCTTAGACAGAACTATCGCCGACAGACGACAGCTTAACACAATCACTTTGCCAGACTTCAGTGATCCCGAGACAGGTGAGAATCCAAAGTCAGAGGGGACAAAATGGTGTCCAAGAGGACGTGGGGCCAGCCACTGAGTGGAGTGGCCAGGCTGCGGGGCCAGGGTGGGGAAAGCTCTGCTCACAGGTGATGCATAGCTGACGCATGCCCCCCTTGGGCTCCTCAAGCGTTGGGTCACGGTGGGGAAAGGAAGGTTATTTGCTCAGCACAACCCTTTGAAATCTGTTTTCCCTGGCTCTGAAGCTTGAAATGTGAAACTAAAATTAGGTGGTTTCCATGCTATCCTGTTTCCCCTGTTTTTCTGCCTCCCTTTAGGGCTTTGGACATTGCCCACATCCATCATTCTGATTTCTAGTCGGTTGCACACGTAAACACAAGTGTACCCAGAAGGGCCTGTGGGGCAGCAAGTGGATTCTGAGCTGTTTCATTCCACCGTCCCCACCCCCAATGGCCCGTTACACTTACTGCCTCTGAGCAGAGATTTGTACTTTTGTTTGTGTGCACCACATACGCTACAGTACAGGGAGAATGCCCCCCTAATTTCCACAGCTCCAAATGACTATTCCAGCAGTAACACTGACAATTTGAGGGGCTCAGTAGACTCACAAAACAAAATGAAATTCACTCAGCTTTGAGCCTCAAAAGTAGTTCTAGAACATCATTTAGAACCCACTTCTCTCTCTTCTCCCCCACCCACAAGGGACCCACTAAGGCTTAATTCCTATCTGGATATGCCTGGTCTTTAATGGGCTGTCCTCATGAAAGGAACCTCAAAATCCCTTTTCTGTCCTTGTGCCATGTCCCAGTTCCTGACAGAGCCCATCCCCTGGAAAGTCCAACCCCAGGCAGGGTAGGGGGAGTAAGGCCTCTGGGAGGCCCCTGTGGTGCTGGGTCCAAGGGGTACTCAGGGCTGCCGCAGACCGCACTCCCGCCAGGCTCCCTCCACCCAACTGGAAGTCAGCCTGAGAAGTCAGACCAAGGCTCTGGGGCTCCCAGGTCCAAAGATTTAAGCCAGCTTTCAGCTTCTGTTCAGACTGCAAACCACAGGAAGTCCTCCACCCCGGGAGAGGCCTGTCTCCTGGATTGGTCAGTCATAGGTGGGCATAGACTATGCTGTGGAGCAGCACAGCAGAGCTCTGCCTCATGGGTGTGCTCCTTCCCTGCAGCTGATGGACTCCTCACTCTTGGAAATGGAGGGTCAGGCTTTAGCAAGGCTGGGACATAGGGAGGGGAGAGAAGCCAGCAGCATTCACTCTGGCCCCCTGCAGCGACTTGGGCTGATTTACAACAGCTTCTGTGGATGTCCTGGGCTGAGTGCCCCTCTGGCTCCCTCTTTAGTGTCCTGTAGGACAGTCATTCTAAATCTAGACCCCATTTCCTTCCAGCTTGCTTGGGCCTTAATTTCCCAAGATTGAATGCCACATCACATTGAAAACAGATAGTGATGGAAAATACATGAGGCCCTTGTCCATCCTCCCGTTTGCTCCCTGGGATGGTTTCCCCAGAACTCCCAGGAGGCTCCTCTTCAGGGTGGACCTTCTCAGATGCCATGTAGTCCAGGGGGCTGGGGCCTGCTGCCCCAGGGTGGGCCTAGCCCATTCCTTCTCCTTACCCTTGGCCTTAGTAGTGGCTGTGCAGCTGCTCTCCCAGGAGGGTCCCCTGGTCACTCCCCAGGAGCACAGGTGTTGGATTCTGGACTACTGGTTCCCATGCCCTTTCTGAACAATGAGGAGGAACTGCAGCCCCAGGACTCAGGCCAGCAACCATTTTGTTGTCACAGTTGTTAGGCAGAAAGGAATCCCTCCCTTTGGTCAGTCTCCAGTGCCCCAAAATGTTGTTTGAACGCCATTGATTGACCTGAGACACCAGGGAAGCAGAGGTGGAAGGCCATGTGAGGGGGCCTAGTCAGTCACAGGCCCCTGTTTTATTACAGAGTCAAATATTCTGAAGTGACAGTGTAAGTCAGGGAAACTGAAAGATTGGAAGGGAAGTAAAAGGACACTAGTCTGGAGTAATAAAGCCCCGTTTTGCTTAGCTGGGCTCTGGGCGTGGTCTCAGGAGAGGCCACCCTCTTACTCACACACCTGTGCAGAAGGCCTGCCTGTGGAGTGCCCTCTCATCTTGACTTTGTTTCAAGAGGAAATTCATTTCATAACTCGAAAGCCAAACTCTAACTCTGAATATACCACAGAGAAGTGTTGCTGCCTTCCCTTCCCTTTCCCTAGAGGGGCCATTTTTGTTAGCTTCTATTTACCCTCCACTGCTCTTTTGTGCACATAAGCACAGGTGTGCTTTCCCACACTCCTTACGTAAGCAGCCACATGTGGTGTGCGCAGCTCAGCGCCTGACCTTCTTCCCTTCCCAGCAGATCCTGCAGATGCCTCCATAGCTGTCCACAGAGAATTTGCCATCCTGTTTCATAGCTGTGAAACATGACCCCCACCTGTCACAGTCGGGACTCCTAGCCACCCAGCCTGACCTCGGGCATTTTCCTTCCCTCAGTCTTCAGCTCAGTGGTGCTCAGAGAGCTGGCTAATTTTGAACATCCATTGGAGCCCTACTTATTTAGGAAAGCAAGTGAGCTAAAGAACAAAAGGGAAAGGAACCCATCCAAGGTCAGAATGGTCCCAAAGTGACAGAAAAGACCCTGAGATATGGTCTGGGAGAACCAAGCCCTAGAGGTAGCAGTGTATATTTAGCATTGGAGCAGGCTGGGTCCACGCCTGACGGCTTTCCCAAATTCCCTTTAAAGGGCACCAGCACCCAGCATGAGCACAGTCACTCAGTGCTGGTGTTCAGAAGAGTACATGGTCAGTGCCATGGTGAACTTCCACCATCATGATCCATCAAATGTTGTTTGGCATTGGCAGGATCATGACCCAGGACTCCACACTATGCAAATGATCCCAAGAGGCCACAGGCCCTCTTGGAACGGTTTTCTTTTCTTTTCTTTTTTTTCCAGAACTAAATTTATTCATTGTTTTATTTTTTAATATTTATGATGGAGAATAGTCAGATATACCAGAAGAGAGATGCTAATATGAGTGAACTCTCATCTCCTACTCCATCTGCAACAATTAGTGCTCTGATCCATCTCTTTCTCTCTAATATAAAGGAACTTTAAAATATATATCACAATGCCATTATCACACATCTGGGTCTTGAAGCCTGCAGACTCACTGCTCTTGATTCCAGAAGTGTTCGATTAACTGGAATATCATTTCCCACTGTGTTCAGATCTGTGGGAAAATACAGGGAACTCACATCTGTGAGCTTTGGATGGGCCTAGTCCATGGTAGCTAACAGAGCAGGACAGTGTTCAGATGGATGTGGCCACCAAGAAAGCCCCCTTCCAGAACATGCTTCCCCCCACATCGCTGTCTAATTCAGCCCAGCCAGTGAAAAAGAGGAGTCAAATGGAGTGACAGTCTTTACTTTGAAGCTATGAGTCATTGTCTTTTCTTTGGAATAGGTTGGTAGTTCCTTAAATAGAGGGTGAAAAAAATTATTTTTCTTCCTCTTGCCTTCAAAACAGGATGTGGGGTAAGGGGATTTATCTTTAATCATTGGTAGATATTACCGGATACCTCTCCCAAGCCAAATAATTTTTTTTTAACTTGAAAGTTTGATCCATTTTGTTTGGGAAAGTTTCTTCTTACAGCTGTGGGGGTCTCAACATTGCCACATCTCTCTCCAGCTGTAAGATGTGAAGGAAACAGGGCAGGCTTCCTTTTCCGAGTGCCCGACTAGTGCACCCCACCACTGTAGACCACTTCAGAAAGCTTTCCTACCACTCCATCATCACCATGCTGAGCCCGTGACATCATTGCACCCAGCACACTGCACCTTGGGAAACTGGAGTTTTGAAGTGGACCTTATATAAGTGCTTCTCATGAAAAACAAATCTATGGAAAGTCAAATTCTAACCCTTTCCAGTTGAAAAGCCAGTAGTGTCCTAGAGAATACGCTAGACATTGTAGGTTAAACGTGTATTATTTTCGGTGGCTCACACAGCTGACTCTGCCCAGGTATATCTGAGTTACATTTGTTCCATGATATTATTGCAAAACAATTAAATAACCAGTGGAAAAACAAATTTGTTTTCTTCGAAAAGCACTTGTATTCTATTCTCAAAATAGAGGAATGATTGTGTATTACATGACTTCATTTTCTTTGCAGCTTATGTGAGTATATTTAAAGCTAGTTTATTTTTTCTTTGTGTTTTAAAGTTTGTTTTGTTTTGTTTTGCCTTTATCCTTTTTTTTTCCCCTCTCTTTTACTTTTTTAGTGTCAGAGTGCTCCTCCTCCTCCTCCTCTCCTTCAAGAACCGAATCTCCTCTCCACCTGTTTGTATCTTCTCGTCTCCATTCTCATCCCAAACCTGATACCTTTGTGTGGCCCCCTGCGCCTCATTCATTCAGTGACTCAGGTCCCCGCCGGGAACCCTCTCTCTGTAAACATGGTTTTTCCTTTCTTGTCAGACCTGCTTCATTTGCCTGATGTTCTAGTTTCTGATAATCTTCCTAACTGATAAGCTGGATAGGAAACTCCCATCAAATTTGTCACAGAGAAGACCTTGCTTGTTTGAAAATTCAAAGCAGGTGGGGCAGGAGGAGTCCTGGGGTTGCAGACATTAGTGTCCAGGTTCCAATCTCTTCTGGAAGGAAGGAGACTGGTCCTCAACAGGACTTACTGGATTTTCCTAGAACATTACTCTTTACTCTTGGGTCCTTCTCTGGATTTGACAAAAATACATAAAAAGTAATCCTGTTAAAGAAAAGGCAAATTACAATATTTTGCAAATAATAATTTAATCCTGAAAACTTCTGGGTTTCAACTTAGAAATGAATTTAGTTCAACTACCATATACTAATCAAGGCCATACCCTAAAGATACTGGGCATATGCTGTGAAGTATGTGGTTCTCACAAGGGACTTTAAGGTCTGCCAGTCTCCTGGGCTCCACCCACAAGGTAAATGGGCCTGAGGTGGGGCCCAGGAATCTGGATTTGTAAACCACCCCTATGGTTCCAATGCCATTGGGTATGGACCACATTTTTGAGAAATGGTGCTATAAATTGTTTTCCATTTTGCAAGGAAAGAAAATGTTGGGTTTGTGTCATTAAACCACATAGGGAAATTGAACAGCATTTTAGTCTATGTCATTAAACCACATAGGGAAATTGAACAGCATTTTAGTCTAATCTTGCTTTTAAATAATACAGAAATTCTGAAAGTCTACTTTAGGGAGTTCTAGAATCTGTCAATTAAAAAAATCCCTTTATTAAAATGCAACACTGATTGGTAAAGTCCTTAAAAAGGACCTAAATATGGATTTCCCCGGAGAGCCTATCCTTGTTTTCTTTCACTCATTTATTTAATGTGCACTTTGCTGCCAGCACTGCCAGAAAATTTAATCTCTGTATCTATGATTTATAAGGGCTCATCTTTGTCCCAAATGCTCAGTTATATGCTAAACCAAAGCTCCTAAGTGGGATGGCTGCCAGAAGGAGCTGCTTTCTTTCCTGGGCTCTTCTCTAGGGTGGCCCGGAGCTGCTGACCCACAGAAAGCCAGCACAGGAGCGCAGGGCTCGTCTGAAGTAAACCATCCACACTGAGCAACACCCTGGCCTACTCCTCTGCATGTGGAGTGTCCCGAACTTGGCTGTAATGGCAACCCAGGGTTTATGAAATAGAAGATGAAGATAACATTTATAAACTATCAAAATAAGACACTTTCCCTTAATACAATGGCCAGCTTTGATTTAAAAAAAAAATTGTTTTTAACATTGACTTCTGCTGAGTTTGGGATCTCACTGTCCTAGCACAAAATTATAGGTTTGCACTGCCTGTCCCTTTGCACAGCTGGCCCAGCCACCTCTGCAACCTGCGGGTTCCTACATTGCAGGGAGCTCTGTGTTCCTCTAGGCCTTGAAGCCTGGGGTTCTGGCTCTTCCAGTGGGGCACATCAGGTGAACTGGCTAATTGTGGGATGATGAGCACCCACTCACCTTTCTGCTGAACATAGTGCATCCCAAGCCACACTTAGCATTTATTCTTGGTGAAGCCAGTGTCTTGTTTCAGCTAAGCTTGAAGCACCCAAGGGACACTTAGTCAAGGGGGAGACCTACTGATAAATGTAGAATTTCTTGACTATAGTTGTAAGAATTTGGATCCCAATTCTTTCCTAGGACAAGCAGGTAGCCAAGGCCTGAGATTTTGTGAATTTCTACCTCTTGTCCTTTGACATCCTAGGAATAAAAACTAGCCTAGCCCTGCACATTGTTGGACTCAGGATTAGGGTTACTATGTGGAAAGATCCAAACCCTGCTCGTTTTATTATTTTTCCTTCCTTTTGGAATTTCCTGCTCTGGAAGCAAAGCACATTACATGAATTGGTCAACTTGTGTGCCGGGTGCACGTGGAGAGGGAATGTCCACTGGCCTTTGTGTGGTTAAAAAAAATATGTGTGTGTATAGGTGTGTGTGGTGTGTGTGACTCCTGAACTGAAATCTAATTCCAGACAGCCAGACTTACAGTTGGAAGATTATTAGAACTCTCTTTGTGTTTTTAGCCTTAACTTTGGATTTTTCAACTATTTTGTTTCTTGGTTTTAATTTTTGGTTTGATCTGTTGTTCCAAGGCAACTCTCCAGAAGCATACTTTCATGGTTTTCCTTCCCTTTTTTCAGTTAGTAAGTAGTTTACCAATCTATTAACCCTTCCGAGGGGCTCCAGAGTCACACCTTCCTCCACTGTGGTGTGTGTGCTGTGGTTGTCCAGTGTTGGGATGTTGGGGTGCTGTGGCCCTCTCGCTGCCGCCTGCCTGCCTGCTCTGCCACTTGGGACCAGCTCCCCTATGATGCCAGGGCACCAGCACAGCCTGGTTCAAACACTGTGAGGCAGTATTGGTCTGAGAAGGACTACAGAGGAAGGAGTGTCTGGGAAATGGCCCAGGTTAGGGCAGGCAGTAGACAGATGGCACTTATTGGAAGTGTGGCCCTGGCCCCCATGGTGGATCTCCTGTGAGTGATAGGTAGAGAGAACCGGTTGAATCTCGACATCCTTTCTGGTGTAGCCACTGTAGAAAAGCCATCCTTGTTGTTAATTTTTCTAAAGGCAGATATCATAAAACTTAAAAGCGCATCTACCAAAAGTCAAAGGAGACTAAGCAATTCTCCAGAAGTAGGATCAGTGCTTTTAAGTCATTAGTGAGTAATCACATTCCCTAAAAGATGTTTCCTACGCCCTTTATTCTATCTGGTCAAATTTTGGGAAATGGTCTGTCTCCTGCCTAGAGATTCCTAGCTCACATGAGTACATCACAGGCTCCGCAGAATCTTGCAGTTTAAAAAAGTCAAGATTCTTGACTTTGACCTAGTCTTCCCAAGCTAATTTCATCATTTTTACATCCCACGGTGTCTGTGTTCCTTGGGTCACACTTGGGAAGCTGCAGATAAATGTTTCTGTTCATCTCAATGATCTGAGCCCCACTGATGGCAAACGCGCCTCCCACATACCCCAGAACATGACTTCCCTCTCTGAAATCCAGCCCAAGCTAGCTGTGGTGTCCCTAATAATAAAGAGGCATGTTTTGATATTGGCATCACATTAGAGTTCTTCATAAAAAGATTTCACTGCCAAATCCCCTTCCATATCAAGCTCCTAGGGATACTAAAAGTCCTTCATTTTCAGAAAGTCAGGCTACATTAAAACCTTCAGGCAGCCCTGACCGGTGAAGGTGAAGTTTGATATATTTATGCTAAAACATTTTCCATAGAAATAGCTTCAAGTCCCTCAAAGGAAGCCAGAGTTCAAGGGCTGGTTCAGCAGTGGAGCCCCTGCAATTCAACTGATCTCTGGGCCTTAGTTTCCTCATCTGTTAGAAAATGTAAATTTAATCCTTATTTTATATGCCTTTATGGTTTGGCAGTAATGGATCCTAATTTTAAGACCTAGCCAGGTGCCTTTCTTCCTGAGACACACCTGGGCAGCTGTGGCTCCCATAGGCCTCACTGACTCCCCAGAATGAAAAGAGAAGAAAGGGCTGGGCAGGGCTGTCTCCACACTGCTGTGCTCTGCTCCCAACCCGAGGACCCCAGAATGTGTGCAGAAGTTCTGCTCCTCTCCAAGAACATGCTGAAAAATCAAGGTGCTGACTTGGGTTCTGACTCAGTTTTTCATAACACTGATAATAGTGAGACTGTTGCAGTCTTTGGTAGTGAGTCACTGGGAGAGGAGAATAAACAGATTAATGAAAGAACACACCACTAAAGTGAAATAAGATGGAGAAATGAATTTAAGATAGAAGTGGGTGGTTTCTCTTCCTTTATGGCCAGCATTTTATCGTTGTGTTTGTATTTTCTAACATTCAAGATTGTGTATCATGGCTGGCCAGGTGGCATATCTTACCTCTGCTCCTGCTTAATTAAGTAGTGTTTTGAAAATGTATGTATCTATGAAAACATTACTCTAGCAATTACCCTACCATTTTTGAGGAGTTGTGATTTTTAAAATTCATCCCTTCTATATATAATCTTTTCAAATAGAACCTTTTCTTACTGTTTAGATTAAATTAATATTAATTTTAATGTAATTCTCCTTAACTAGTTCTGTGTAAGATTGAATGGAATTATTAAGAGATTGACAATTCTGTAATAAATGGCACTCAGATAGAATCAGGTGTCCAGATTTAGAATAGCACCTGGCAGACCTTCCCCGGGGCGCAACAGAAAGAAACACTTCGAGGCTCACAGGGCAGCAGCCTCCCCAGCAGAAGGGCACCTGGGCCCAGAGCTGCAGCCTCATGAATATGCAAAGGGAGGGTTTGGGTGACCAGGAAGCCTCTGCCCACAGTAGTCCTCCAGAAGGTACTGTCTCCAGCCCAGAGCCACCTCCTTGCACTTGGACAGCTGGTACCCTCCGCTTGTTTGTGAGCAGCTTCGCACCATGCTTTTTCCTGTGTGACCACCTGGCCCTGCCAACTCCTGCCAGCAGCATGCTGTGCTGGCCTCGCATGCCCACCCGTGACAACACATCCCTGCCTTGGTGGGTCCTTCCCTGAAGCTTTCCCTGGAAAGAGCTTCTCCCTCTCAGGATTAGACACACCCTGTCAGGGTAAAACTGTGGTTGATCCTCTGTTCAAGTTGTTGGGAAACTGTGATCTCGTCTTGAGGCCAGGTCTGGCTGTCCTATCTGTTTTGCACTCAGAAAAAGGGAAGTTCTGCTTGGAACCTTGACCAGAGCTGCTTGTCCAAGGAGCTGCAGCAGGCGGCAGCATTGACAGAGGGGTTCAGGTGGGGGCAGTTGTTGCCGAGGGAGCTCTGCAGCCCTGGTCACTCTGGCACAGAAAAGAAGCTACTATAGAAAGGAGACCTGGGACAGCACAGGGAGGAGTCACCACCCCTAGTCAGCCTTCCCAGAAAAGCAGGTCTACCGTCTAGCAAAGATGGGGATGTCCCTAGCTCCCCAAGAGAGGGAGGCCACCAAAACTTTCATGGAGAAAAAAGGAGTGGGCTGTCATGTATCTTAGTGGTAGAGCACTTGCCTAGCATATATGAGGACCTGGGTTTCATCTCAGCACCACAAAATAAAAATTTTTAAAAGATCCAGAGCCAGGCACTGTGGAAAATGCCTGTAATCCCAGCAGCTCAGGGAGGCTGAGGCAGGAGGATCGAAAGTTCAAAGCCAGCCTCAGCAACTGTGAAGGCACTAAGCAACTCGGCGAGACCCTGTCTCTAAATAAAATACAAAATAGAGCTGGGGATGTGGCTCAGTGGTCAAGTGCCCCTGAGTTCAATCCCTGGTACACGCCCCCCCCCATATTTAATATGTTTAAATTAGGGAATGAAATTAGAGTGGCTCTCCTGTTTCTTCCCAGACCTTGGCCTTCCCTCCTTCAGCCCAGATCATTCTGATTCCCAGAGCACCGGGGCAGGTGTGGAGACAGAAGGTCGCGGCTGCCAGCCGTCTGCAGTGTTGGGCTGGTGTGTGTCCTAGCCCTGTCTCAGAAACACTCTTCATTTCCTTTGAAAAATGAAAATTCTCAGCAGGCCAGCCAGCAGAATGCTTAGTCATCAGGGTGGCTGTTGAGTGCCCAGGGTCTTCAGACAGCCAGGCTGCTTTGTCTTGTGTAGCAGTTTTGGTGGCATGGTGTCTAAGCACTAGAAGCTGAATCCTGTATCCACAGACAATACTGAATGATTTTGAGACTGAAGGGAGACAGACAGAGATTCATCAGTACTGGGTGATTCTGCATGGCTGATGCTGGAGTGGCACAGTTTCTTTTCAGAAAAATGTGTAGAGGGGAGGTATTGGCTGTGGCAGCAGGAGGTAGAATGTGGGTGATGACGGAGATGGGACGCAGGGCGCCACCACGTGCTCCATCATCCTCCCATGTCTATACACGTGAGCCAGCCCTCCAGGGCTGGGAGGCGGAGGTCCGCCCGGGCCCTGAACGTCCATGTGCCAGATATGTCTACCCATGTCTCTTTTGTAGGGGACTTTTTTATGTTCCACATAATGGAACAGTTGCCCATTGTTCCTGACACTGGGACATGCAGCGAGGCCCAAGCTGGGCAGCATTTCACCCGAGATCTAGTTCATCCTCTCCTCGCTGTGAGGACATGAGGGGAGAGGGCAGGCACAGGGTCCTTCAGACTGAAGCCACTTGTCTAATCCAGCAGGAAGCCAAAGGGACAGCTGGAATAGAAACATGCCAGGCAGTTGGGGACCCTGCTGTGAAAGGGTGATCTGAATAACCGGAGCCACTTAATTTTTTCTAGCTTTTGCTTAAAATTATCAGCTCTGAGATCCCTTTGATGAACTTTGATGGTAAAATAGGGCTCATACCCAGCTGCTGCATTTGAAGCAGACCAGAGGCGTCTGTTTCCTTCAGCAGAAAAGGTACATTGGGAAGATTTCACTGCCGAGCAATTTGAGCCGGCTGTTGGCGTGTCCTACTTGTCACAGGGTTTCTCAGAGAGCCTCAGCACGTGGCGGGGAGGCTTGGACAGGTTCAGAGCGTGGGCTCGCAGTGTCTGGAGATCAGTAGCCTAGGTTTCTGCCCCTCTCAACTTGGAGAAAGGTCTTTCCAACACAGTTCCTGGTACCCCCTGTAGAACGTCCACCCGGTCATCAGAGGGTACCTAGAAGAAAGCACCAGATTAGGAAGCAGAATAGTTCCTCAGGTGGCACTTTGCTTTGTATCAGCGTCTGAGATGGTCCAGGCTCGAAAACCACTGGCCTGAGGAAATCCCCTAGCCTCTGCTCCAGCATCCTGTGTCCTGGACTGTTTTGGCAATTAGGTCACAGAGCTTGGGCCAGGTTTGAGGATGTACTCTTCCCTGCCTGCATTGCTGCTCAGCATAATGGCTTCTCCAAGCCACTGTGTCCTGAGGGGAAGGGGCGCATCACTGTGGCAGAGCCCAGCAGCTGCTTTACAGCACACAGGCCCCAGGCGTGGCTGTGATGAGACCTTCTCCAATTAGTGTGGTTAATAAGACAGGAGGAGCCAGGCACCGGCCTGCTCACTCGTGGAGCCAGGTGATTTGGAAACATTTCTCCCAACTTGGATTTTACATTGGATCTATGTCCTCAATTCTTCTGATTCCCTTTGCAAGCCTCAATTTGTCCATTTCCACCAGAGGTTGAACAAATGCAGGGATGCAGCTTCTTTGATAAGAAAGAAGAGTTCCTTGAAATGTGTGGGTTAGAGCCAGCATTTTTGTGGTTTACCTGCCTGAATCAAAGTCCAAGGTCTGTCCTGGCACCTCCTCAGTCCAATGGAACAGTAAGACACAAGTTGTCTTGGGTTTTTTTTGTTTTTGTTTTTGTTTTTTTTAATCATTCCCCAAATTCTAATCCTGTGGAAGACATTTATTTATCGTGTTATTGCCAGGAATAGTAGATGCTAACTATTCTATACTTTTACCATCGTCATTAGTCACCTGCTATTATTAACAAATCTCTGAACGCTTTAATATCCTGGTTCAGAATGTGAAGGCTGTGGCCTTGTGAAGTATGGGTGACAAGGAGTCGACTGAGGAGGGAAGAAGTACTTATGGAAAACCTGCCACCATTCTCTGTTTTAATGGGCTAGTTACATTGGCGGGGAGTCACTCACAGACACCTGATGTTTAATTATCTGCCACCAACACTTTCAGTCCAGGTTGGTAGAAGTGGTGACAGCAGCACTAAAAAGCCCTCGGGAACATTGATGGTTCTGGCCTTGATCCTGTATCAGGGAGGAAGGTGGACACGGCAGGCACACATCCAAAAGTGGGATGCTCTTCCGAATGTCACATGGTGACATTTTCTGTTTCTGCTGCCCATCCACTCACCCCAAGGGTGGGCCTGGCACTATTGTTCTCTGCAGAGTCCTAAACAGAGGACTCTTCCTTCTACAGCAAGATAGTGACAATGACAGCCACAGGGAAGCAGCAAGGACGCAAGGAAGCCTCACTGCAGGGAGGTGCAAAAGATCACAGCCACCTCCCCAGAGGAGGTGGCCTCGGAGCTGGGCTTAGAGTCAGGCCAGTTCAGTCCTGGTTTTGCCACCGCTTGGCTATGTGACTTTGGATAGTTACATAACCTCATCAAGTCTCAATTCTGTCACCTAAACAATGCAAAAAACATTATTCCCTGCCTCCCAGCGTTGTTGAAAGATTAAGTGCAAAGTGCTAATCACAGATCCTGACGTGGTCTGTCCCCCACGGTTGATGACCACCAACACTGCCGAGGTCAACTCCTCATCTTCCAGATTCCATTCACAGTGGACTCGATTGCAAGGCTAAGAATTAATTAATTTAGTCACATATAGATCTCACAAAGAGAAGGAACTTTGGCAATAGTTTTTGATTAGTTCATTTGTGGACCAAATAAATAGTTCATCCAAAAAACAAAATTAACCCCTTCAAAAGCCACAAGTCCTGGTGGCAAAGGAGTCATAGAACCTGGTAGGAATTTTATGAATTCTTCTACTGCCCATTGTGCATTATTATCTTTAAATGAATCAATAACTGAATATTATAAACCTCAGTTTCAGTTTTCTAATATGGTAACTAAATATCAATAGATAAAACCCACATAAATCCCTTTAGTGTCTTTATTAATTTTCCAAGTCCAAAGGGATTCTTAGGCTAAGTCCGAGACCCTGTGTTCTGGAAACAAGTTCTTAGGAGTTTTGCCCAGGTGACCATGGGCTACAGGGAAGTCACAGCACTCCAGCTGCCAGCCTGGATCCAGTCTCTTCCTGACCATGTGTTAGTCACAGCTGCTCCTGTCCCTGCAGGCAAGCAGTTCTGGGCTTGACTGCATGTTAGAAGTATGGGAGGTGGTCACCAAATAGATGCCTGGCCATGCCCCGAGAGTTAGTGACTCCTCTGTGTAGGCTGTCCTTGCAGCGTCATGATTTCTAACCCTTAATGACTGTGATGTGAAGTCAGTGTTGAGAATCCCTGCTCCAGACAAACTAGCATGATAATGGCAGAATAGAGCAGCAGCAGCAGAAGCAACAGCAGCAGCAGCAGCAGCCACTTCCGGGACAATCATCTGTTTAACCCATCATTGCTACTGAAAGTCTCAGGGAAGCTATATCAAGTCATTCTTATTAAAATATTGTTTTGTATCAAACAAAATAAGACTAAAAATATCCATGGCGGTTTAATCATTTTGCTCTTTAGGTTGCCAAAAGATAGCTAGACATATTTGTCCAAGTTCATAGCCAGACTTTGTTCGTTAGCCCATTCATGAATGCCATCAGTTAGACTCTCTCGTCTTGGCCTCAGTTGCCTTTCCTGAATGGCCACTTTCCCTCTGGCACACTTCTGAGGCCTTTCCTCCAGGTGATTATCCTCTCAGGCATCCTTGGGGCCTGTCTGCAGATTATCTGCTTGGGGAAGGTGGAATGCCTTCCCTTCAGTAAATTTGATTTACATCCACCAAACCCATCAAAAGGATTTGAGTGTAGTTAGAAGAATTCACACTACTGTCATGTTGCAGTCAAACCACATGAATGGCCAGTTATTACTGCAGATCCTCTTAAAGTCAATAAATGATGTGCATTCCAAATACCAACTGAAAATATGTTTATGTCTATGATTTTGTATTATCCAGAGTAGAATAAACTTGCTTTGTTTGCATAGTCAGCATTTTAAAATTTTGAGACCATGTCTCTTTATGTTGCCTACGCTCGTCTCAAACTTGTGGGTTAAAATGATCCTCCTACCTCAGTCCCCCCGCTCCACAAGCTGCTGGGTCTATAGGCACATGCTATCCCCAGCTTCATCATCAGCATTTATATTTACATATCTTCACTGTTTGGAACTTCATGATGAGCTGATAGTTACAAATAACAGTGTTGAAATGTGTATCTCTGTAAATTATAAATAAAGAATGTCACAGGTGAATATAAACATTAACAGTTTTAAATTTGAAATAAGTGCTCTCAGTTCCAAAATCATACCTCCAGGAGTGTTGGACAGGTGGGAGCGAGCCTTGTTAATGGAGGTCGTCTCCTGTTGTCAGGTCCTCTGCAAGGCACCCTGCATTTTGCCTCACTCTCCACACTGTGCCTTTGCCTGGCACTGTGCTCGGTGGTGTCTTTCTTAGCCTTTCAGGACAGCAGGTTTTACAGAAGAGTTAGGCAGGTATTATGACCCCAGGTGTCTTAGCTACGAGCCATCCTCCACAAGTCTGGGATTAGCCTTAAGAATAGATGCTGGCTTACCCTGGGACAAAAGGGTCCTTTTTCTGCAGTGTGTAGGCCATGCCATGGGATACAACTCCCAGTCCAGGGGTGTTGCCCACCTCAAAGGCCCAGCTCCACTAATGACATGGGAAATTGTTGGACTGTCCTGAGAATGGCCATCAGTCTACTCCAGTTGCTGCCTTGGAGGCAAGCACGGTGCTCTCTGCCCTCTCCTGTAGAGTTACCAAGTTTAGGCCCTTACAGGGTGCTTTGTAATGTCCCTTTGTAGCCCTTCATTCACGCCATTTGTTAACACTGTATCACTGCTGTGTGTTTAGCTGTTTCCCTTCCTGCTCCCAACACTCACTGTGCCGTGCTAAGCTCCTGGAGGGAGCCCTTGGCCTAGCATGCGCTCTGCGTGTTGACTGCAGGATCAGCCAAAGCAAAAGGAGGAGACTGAGGTTCCAAGCCTTAACAGTCCTGATTTCTATATGGGCAGAAACTCAGAAACATCCTGGAAAGGCTGTGTGAACGTTGTGCACTGTGTCTGTGTCTGGGAGGGGGTCGTCTGCCTGGTGTGTGGCGGTTGATCTGCCTTTTCGCTCCTGATACAGTATTCTCGAAACCTCTCATAGGCTCTGTCCACGCCACGTCAGTAGCAGCCTCGAGAGTGGAGCAGGCACTGTCAGAAGTGGCCTCATCTCTGCAGAGCAGTGCCCCCAAGCAGGGCCCACTACATCCCTGGATGACGTTGGCACAGATCTGGCTCCACGCAGGTACAGCTCTGCTCCTTTCTTCCCTGAGGGCTCCTCCACCTGCCCACCACCCACAACCCACTCGTGGGCCAGAGGCTGCAGGGTCCTGCCAGCGCTCAGCTGTGGTACTAGGACCCCTCATGAGGAGAAATCAGAGCCTCTGCAGTCAAGCACCAAACTGCTCCTTCTGTTCCAGGGCATGAGTTACTCTCTCCCTGTCCCACCATGCTCACAGCTGACCCGGAGCCTCGCCTAGAGTGGCAGCCACCAGGAGAGGTTTTCTGAATGGGACTCAGGATTCCTGGGGGGTCCGCCATGTGGGGTGCAGGGTTTGGGCTGAAGATGGACCAAAGCTATACCCTGCACTGTCTTTGTGGGTGACTTGGAATCCCAGCTGTGCTCCTTATTGGCTGAGTAGACTTGAGTTCTGCGTAGTAGAACAGTAGCTTGACCTCTGCCTCATCTACAGGATGGGGTTAGAGTAGTACATGATGAGCAACGTACATGACACGTCCCAGCAGCCAAGAAATCTCCAGCAGAGAAACAAGGGCTGTTAGTTTCACAGATGTCTTTATCAAAGCCAGGGCAGGGGCAGTGTTCCTACTCCCCTCTGATGGCACCATGGATGACCCACAGAGAGGGAGGCAGTAGCAGTAGCCACTGGTCTGGAAGCTGGCCGAGAAGCCAGTTTGGTCACCTGCCCTAGCTCCATGTGGCAGCCAGCTGGTTCAGGGTTTTTCTGTGCACCCAGAAATCTCAGAAGTAAGTCCAACACACGGGCACTTTGGCAATGAGAATACCACCACACAGGGCTCCCCAGGAAATGATGGCCATTGATTTACTAGCATATTTTTACTTGTACATAAAAGTTTTATCACTTGATCTGCATGACCCTGATGAGGACTTCTGAGTCTTCACCTACAGGGTGGCACCAAAGGTAGCCAAGAGGGCGGGTGTTGCCCTCCAGTTGTGCATCTGTTTACTGCTTTTTTGTCAGGGCTGATTGCACCGTGTTCAGCCTTGTGTGTCACCTTGGTGGAGCTGTGTGTTCCGGCGTGGCTGGATTTACCTGGCCTTGGCAGTCTCGAAGCCCAGCAGTCAGCATTCTGTGATGGCATCTTTAATTGAGCCATAACAAATGCCGTAAATTAGCAAATTATATTCCTCTGAGCAGAATGCAAGAGAGGTTGATTCATGAGTGTCTGATTGTTCTTGTCCCAGCATTGGGCTTTTTGCCCAGAGAGATGGCAGCAGGCTGCCTCTGAGGGCCAGGCACAGCAGGGATGCACACCTCCTTCCAGGTCTGACAGAAGAGTCAGGCCCAGATGAGGATTCTGGTGCCATCCTGTCCAGTCCCCTCTACAAGCAGAGACCATGGAGAAGAGAACAAGGAACTTGGTCTAGTGCCCAGGTCAGGGGAACCTGGGTGAGCCTCAAGGCTGTCTTTTAAATAGGGCTTGAAATGGAGCTTTTGGAGGGCCGAAGTCTAGAGCCCAGAGGCTGCTTCTCTTGCTTGTTTCCATGACAGAGAGCTTTGCATGGTATTTGCTGCCCCTCACTCGGTCACCCAGGACTTTCCTCTCTGTGTGGCCTGCCATGATGCTGGGAGGAGGTACTACAGCTGCTTACGTCAACACTGAAGAACTTGGTGACTAAGACTATAGTTTGGAACTATCTTTAAATTTTTATATCATTCCATAATCTCCATTTATCATTGTTGTGGCCTGTAGGACAGAATAAACGTCTCATTACTAGTTAATGAGCATGTTTTTAATGTTCTACAGGCTGGCATTGAACTACAGAAAGTACTTGCCGTGCTTTCCTTATAGATCTGTGCATATTGTACACATGGAGTGAGCGCTGAGTACAGAATGAATGAATGGAACCAATTAGGGTCTTAGGATCTGCGCTGTATTGACTCTTCAAAGAGAAGAATTATATTATATGTCCACATAGTCTTCAAAGAGGCAAATTCAGGAAAAAACAGTTTCCGCTGAACTCAGGATGTACCACATACAGTTTGAGCTCCACTTCTCTGAAAGGCAAAATAAAGATGTCCTCAATTGTTGACAGTTAATCAAAACCAGGTAACATCTGCTTCCCGTGTCCATCATCAGCTCCAGTGATACTTCCACGTTTCATAAATTTTGCATGCTTTCCAGAAATTAAATCAAGTCCCAACACCTGGGGCCTTGGTGCTCCTTGGTAGGTGTGGGCCTCTTCTCTCTTGGTTGTTTTTTTGGTGAACTGAGGGTAGAGGGGAGCTGACGATGGGAGCTCTTGCTGGAGCTGGGGATTTGGGCAGGCTGGGGATTGAACCTGGGGCTGTGCATGCTAGACAAATGCTCTACTACTGAGCTGCATCCCCAACCCTTTTTATTTTTTTTTATTTTGAGACAGAGACTGGCTAAGTTGCCCAGGATGGCCTAGAACTTACAACCCCACCTGCCTCAGCCTCCCATGTAGCTGGAATTAGATGTGTGCACCTCCATACTGGGCTTGTGGCCCTAGATTTGATCTTGCAGGAAGGTGACTCTGAGATGATGCACACTGTATCAGAGGACACTTACATGTGCATCTGATGGCAAGTGATCACAAGCAGGACACCAGAGCCTCTCACCACTCTGTGAGGGAACAGGCCAAAGACCCAGCCTATAATACAAACCCAGGAAACAGGGGATGTTTGTCCATGAACTGTCCCTCCCTTCCTGTGTGGTGGGCACCCCTTCCCTCAAAACTTTCTCTTCTGTCCTGGCCTTCAACTCTACAGGGCTCCTGGTCGCTGAGTTGTCCTGGGCTGTGCAGGTTTGTTCCTTGGTTTGTTCTGGACCTGTTTCCATGGTTTATCTATCTGAATTGTTCTTAAATAGCACACTCACGTGGTACATGATCAAAAAGTGGGAAGGATGTAAAGTGAAAGGCTTCTTTTATCCCTCAGCCCCAGTTACCTGTCACAGGTGGGTGGTAGCTCTGTGCACCTTCCAAAGACCTTGCCCACCCTGCACAGTGTCCACACTGCCCTCTTAACAGGGTGTCCAGGAGACCATTACATCAGCATGGACGAGACTAGCTGTATTTTTTACAGCTGCATAGTGTAAATCATCACTGTGGAAATCCTCTAACCAGTGCTCTGATGAAGGTTTGGACCATTTCTAGTACTTTGCCATTACAGACAATGTTTCAACCAATATTCTTACATATATTGTTCTGTATTTCTAAGATAAACTCCAAAAAATTGCACTGCTGGGTCAAAGGCCACACCTTAATCTTGACAAAGTTTGTCATCACGTTGCCTCCCCAGGAATCGAATCAACGCCCATTCCAGTCAACAGCGTGTGCTGTCACTTTCTCCCGTCTGTGCCAACACCATAGAATCTCAGAATCCTAGGTCTTTGCCAGCCTAGTACATGAAAAATGGCGTTTCCATTGACTTCTCAGTCTTCCTAGACACTGGGCTTTTCTTTTTTACTCATAAGTATTTATTGTATGTTTTACGTCTGTGGTAGGTACTCATATTTTTTTGTCTTTTTTTTTTTTTTGCCCTGACCACATTTATCTATCTTTTCCTATAGCATCTGGTCTTCCCATGATATTTAGAAAGCAACTACCCATTCTGGTCTCTGAAAGTTCCATTCATATATATAATCTCTTATACAGAAGGTGAGAGAGAGGGTCTTCCCTGTACTCTGCAGCAGGGGGACCCAGGTAGACAGATGGGAGCGTCCATGCAGTGTCCCTGGGGCAGAAGTCAGGAGAGCTGGAGCAGACGTGGGGTGTGACTCTCGTACAGAGTTCCTCAGAACCATGCTCCTTCCTTCTGCGGCTGCAAACCTCACTGGTGGGCATCAGAAGCTCATGCAATTCCAAGTTGGACCAGATACTTTCCATGCCACACAGCTTCCCGGTCCCCATCTTTCAAGTCTCATGTTGGGTTGGCAGCTAAAAATGACTTGGCGGTAGGTGGTTAATTTTTACTTGTTACTTACTAATAATTATAGCTTTCACTTTGGCACCTCTCACAGCCGAAACCAGTGGCTATTCTTAGATGTGCAATTTCAGATTTTCTGATTTCTGCTGGAAATCTAAAGCTCTGATACTCATAAGTTCCTTGGCTCTGGTGTGACCTGTGGCCTTCATCCTGCCCACCCCTCAGGTACCAGGAGATTGCCTGGACAATGTCAAGTAGTGGTACGTTCTCCATGATGAGACCAGGATGGCTCCCAGACCCACCATATGTGCACATATGGGTACAGGGAGCACCTATAAGGGAGAACCTGAAGTCCCCGGGGCCAGGCCTGGCAGGCCTGGTGCTGGTCTAGATGGGTCAGCTCTGCCCCACCCACCCCTCCTTCCTTGGGGCTTGGCTAATGGTGTACAGTTTGTGGTGCATTACCAAGCACAGTGCCTGTTCAGGTGTTATTCCGAGGCCTTTTGGTGGCTTAGATTGTTTTGTCCTCATCACAGCCTGGCATGGGATGGTACACTGTGCACTCCACTCACCCCACATGAAGAAGCTGAGACCCAGCCATCAAGTCACCCGTCTGAGGTTGCATGGTTCACATGTTGGGAAGCCTGCATTCCAAGGCCACCAGTGTGGCCCAGAACCCTCACCGTAGCCCTCAGTAGGCCCTTGTTTGTTCAACTCAGTACTCCGAGCGTCTCTATGTGCCGTGCTCTGCAATTCAGTGGTCATGAAGACAGGCGCAATCCCTGCCTTCCTGGAGTTCACAGATGGGGACAAATCAGCTGCCGAAGCACCCAAGCCCCAAGGTACCAAGTGCCAGGAAGCAGCAGTCCAGGCTGCTCTGACCTCCTAGAGAAAAGGCCTCGCCCCAGCCAGACAGAGGAGGCTGTACACTTTTCAAAGCACTGACCAGGGGAGGCCCAGGTAGCCCTTGGGAAGGCCTGGAGGCAGCACGAGCTCTGAGAAATGAAGGGCCCTGGGATGAAAGGGGTCCAAGGGAGGCAGCAAGGCAGGGGTCTGATGGGCTGTGCCCCCAGGAGCCATGTCAAGACCTTTGAACCCAATTCTAAAAGCACTGACAAGCTCGTGGAGGACTTGAAGCAGGAGGAGAGTGGGGAGCACTGGTCCCAGGTGGTTGCTGTGGGTGGGAGCCGGGTCTGCCTGCAATGCACGTTCAGGGTGAGCCCATGGGGCCGGCTGGTGGATAAGATGAGGGGTGACGGAGAAGAAGGAATCCCCAGCCCCGGGTTTCAGTGAGTGGTGGTGGACAGTGCCGTCTCCCGCAGTGGGCAGCTGGGGGAAGACCTGATGTCCCAGGGTGGCAGGGAGTCGGGGGATTCTGGAGTCCTGTCTGAACTTGGAAGTGTCCAATGCCCAAGGCCATGCAAGTGACAGTGCCACGGAGGCGGCTGTGTGTTTGCCTCACATTTCAGATTCAGGCTGGAAACACGCATTTGGGAGTTTGGATTTAAAGCTAACAGATGCGACCAAAGGCCTGAGAAGAGAATGAAGGTGGAGAAGGGAGAGGACCCGGCTGCAGGAGCACGAGGAGGGCAGCCAGCCCCAGGCAAGGGGTGAGGAATGGACACTCACGGCACCTCGTCTGGGGAGACCTCGGGCCTCATCTGATCTGTGGATGCCCAGGCCAGGCTTTCCGAGCAGCATGCACTCACAGTGAATGCTGTGGCCTTGTTGTATTCTGGGACCAGCTGTGTGTCCCAGCGGAGAAGACCATGTGCTGTGGTGACACCAGGAATGTTGGAAAGCCTCAGTGAACCTTCCTTCTTCTTCCCTAGTCCTTGACTGACGCTGGAAATCCCTCCACCAGAGCTTCCTTCCTAAAGTCAGAGACTTTGTGCCCTCACATTGTGTTTCCTCCTGGGGAGGCAGGGGCTGTCTTAAAGGAGCCCTAGGAACATGGACCAGCTGGGCCTGGATCCCCCCAGGTGTCCTGACTCAGCATAACAGCTGCAGGGTTCCTTAGTAACCACCTGCAGACTCCAGGAGGGATGAGGCTTGCCCTGGCGCTGTCCCCACCGCTGTCCCCACCATCTCCCACTCTGGGCTTCCAGCTCCCAGCACCTTGTTAGATGCTGACCACTGTTCTAGGGAACAGGCCTAGGAAACCGACTGCCTTGCCGAAGGTCGCACACGTCTCCCAGCAGCAAGTACCAGATACTCCAGGGACTCGAGACACTGTGCGTGGCAGGGAACCCCAGTGGTGCCTCAGAAGCAAGATGTGGGGACAAACCAAGGGGGAAGCCAAGCCACCTGCTCTTCGGGGTCCTTTTGTGTGGTGGCCTAAGAGCTCTTTGGAGAAAAGAGGCGCTGTTGGTGAAGAGAGTTCCTAAACCACTGCAGGACCTGTGCCCGCTTGAGCTCACATGGGATTCGGAGCAACCCAGGCTGGGCGTTCTTTGCTTCATCCGCCTCTAGCCTTGTTGACTTTGTAGGTCCCCCCAGACCCTTCTTTGGCACTGGAAAGAAGTCAGATGTGGCCCTATTCTCTGTCCTCTTTCCTCATGGGAAGCAATAGCATCAGGCCTGAGGCCTATGAAAAAATGGGATAAATAAGATATTGGTATCATATGGGGTTCTCAGAGGACCCTCGGGGAACAGGACTTACATGTGTTCTGTCACATGGGTGTTGAAGGCTCCTCCCACTTGATTCTTATGCAAACTCTGGAAGCCCTCAGTCCCTGCTCCCAGGCTGGCCAGCAATCTGCACCTCACCAACTTGCCAGGCTCGGGATCCTCGAAGTATGTGAATATACCCACAGGGAAGCAGGTCGGGAGCCCAGTGTTCAGTGAGAAGAACACTCCACGCCGCTCTCCAGGCCTTCGGGTAACCCAAAACCACACTGTCACAGCCTCCTGGCCTGGCGAACACTTGGAGAGAGTCTGCTCTCGAAAGACATCAGACAGCCTGGTGGCGTCATCAAGGGCATTCATCTCCCAGAATGCACAGAGCTCCGCCTGAATCCCCCTTGTCGCCTTCGAGTGTGGTGTGGCACCTGTTGAGTCTCCCAGAAAGATGAGGCAGGCACAGCCAGGGCACTGCCACCTCAGTGCTCAGGACTTTGTACCTAAACTGCCTCAGTCTCTGGGACTGTCCTCTACAAGACCCTGGGCTAATCCGTCACCTCTCTGTGCTGCTGTTAAGAGGGGTTGGCAGATGAAGGGCACAGTGCCAGGGTGATGCCCATTCTGTCTAGGCCTTCCCTTGGCCTGGGGAGACTGTCGGTGGCGTGGGTAGGATCACCAGTGCAGTGGGAGTTCTTGAGGAGAGGGACTGGCTGGGTGACAAAGGTGAAACCGGGGGATTTAGAAGGACGGGGCTGTAGCAGAGCCTGCCCTGGGGGTCTACAGTCCACTGTATACATCAGACTCTCTGAAAATGCTGGCGAGGACACATGGGGGCAGAGAGCTACAGGGGCAGGAGGGGCAGAAGATTTGGCTTCCAGGGATGGTGGCCACTGAGCTGGGCTTTGAAGGAGCCTGGGGTTGACCTCACAGAGGCAGAGGCCACAGAGCAGACAAAAGCACAGAGGCAGACAGACCTGCTCTCGTATGGAATAGCACTTGCCGTGCCAGAGCCTGGTGGCTCATGGAAGAGGCCAGAAGTTCACGGGGTCAGGAGGCGTGGGCCGGTCACTGCCAGGCACAGGAGTCTGGAGGTTATTTTGGGCCAGATGAGACTGTTGAAGGCCAAGAGCCCAGGCCCACACCTGACTGCCCAGGGTCTGGGACTGCCTTTGCCTCTGACCTGCCCTGGGTCCTTGGGCAAGCACACAGTCTCTCTATGCCTGTTTTCTCATCCGTGCAATGGGGACAAATGGCAGTGCCTTCTGGGTCACTGTGCAGATGCAGTGAGGAATGGGCAGGCCCCTGAGCCTGCAAGTTTCAGGAGCACGAGCTGCTGTCAGTCACTGTCATTCTCTCTCACCCTGCCAAGCTCTGGGCTCCGCTATCTGGTCCCTGGGGTAACAGTCATTGTCAGCACAGACACTTCCTGCCCTTGTGTAGCTCACAGCTTACCTTCTAGGGACACACAGGAAGTAGAATTGAGCAGGGAAAGGAAGTGGGGTGCCATGTGGCTGAGGCAGAGTAGGTGGCTGTCGGTGGCAGGAGACCTGGCAGGAGATGCTGAAGGGGAGCAGAAGCTCAAGGCCTCGGCAAGGGGGATTTGAGCAGGCTCTGCCTCTGGAGGTTGGTGGACAGTGTCTGTGGAGGACAGGCTGGCCGTGAGGCAGGAGAAGTGACCAGGAGGCCCTGTAGCAGTGGAAGAAGTTCCCGTGCAACTCTGTGAGGACTTGAGGAAAGGGGCAAAGCATTCCCGTTTTTTCTCACCCTGTTTTTTGAGCACTTGTGTGTTGTACACTCCATGTTGACAGCCTGGAGGGGCAGGAGGGGACATCAATCAGGGTGAGGCCTAGCGTCCTTCGCTGCCCTGCAGGCGGGAAAAGGGTCACATTGCTCAGTGCAGAGCAGAGTGGCCATGGAGGAGGACTCTGGCAGGAGACCTGACAGATGTGGCCCTGGTGGCCCTGGAGAGACAAGAGGACTCCAGCATTCCCAAAGCCTCAGGCCCGGCCTGGGGAAAGACGGTGGTGCTGTGCTCAGACAGGGCTTGGGAGAAGAGCCCAAAAGGCAGATGCAGTGTTCCCACATGGACACCTGCGTGGCACACCTGTGTGGCAAGACAGAGATGGCACTGGCACGTGTGGTGTGCTCTTTGGGGAAGCCAGGGCGGCAGAGGTGAGAGGACCGAGGCCTGGGCTTGGCAGAAAGATTCTTCCTCACTTGTTCTGAAAGTGGCAGCCTGGTTTCTCAAAGGCTTCGGTGACCTTTACAGCTAAGAATCCCCAGGGTGCAGTCACTTTTCCCAGAAGGGGGCCAGGTCTGGAGGGCCGTCATTTTATTTTGTGCCTTTAAATATGTGAGCCTCCGCCTGTCACCTTGTCACACTCATGGCATCAGGAGAACAGGCTGGCAGGCAGAGTCGTCACCCTATGAAAGGCTGTGTGCCCGTTCAGTCCTTTCTCTGTGGTGGTTAAAGTCAAGGGCAGGGCCAGGCCAGGTGCTGCAGTGGCCTAGATGGACCTTGAGGACAGGCATCCTCTGAGGTGGGCAGGGCCCTGCCAGGCTCACAGCACAAGTGACCGGAATCCCTGGCAGGAATGGGCATGAGGGATGTTGGCCTGTAGCCTGTCCTCAAGGGTAGGGGACCCGCTGGCTCTGCCCTGCCAGACTCCCATGGGGGAACACAGAGGTTCCAAGCAGAGTGACAGCTGCCCACAGGCCGTGAACTGGGACAGCATCTGCTTTCTGCTCTCCTCCCACAGCTGAAGTCTACATTGGTCTTGGGAAGCCTGCGGAAGCCACAGCCTGTACCCAGGAAGCTGCCAACCTCTTCCCAATGTCCCACAATGTCCTGTACATGCGGGGCCAGGTCGCGGAGCTCCGTGGGAACGTGGATGAAGCGCAGCGGTGGTATGAGGAAGCCTTGTCCATCAGCCCCACCCACGTGAAGAGCATGCAGCGGCTGGTGAGTGAGAGCTGCGTGAGGCCCCGCCGCTAGGTCGGATTGTCCTAGGAGCCGCCGGAGGCTCGTGTCCACAAACGCTGGTTCCGAAGGTCAGATGCAGTCAGCTTGTCAGACTGTCCTGTTGTACTCAGCCACAGGCCATTCCTGAGGTTGTTTATGCCAGTGGTACCTGGGAGTTGACAGTGTATAACTGTAGCTACCCTACCTGGATCCTGTTTAGGTGCCTTGGGCCAGCTTAGGTCACTGGCCTTCTGGTCAGCAGTCCAAGCCACCCTGTGGCTCTAGGTTTGATAGAGACATTCCTATGGTCCTGGGCACTGATTGTCCTCTTGGTCTCTCTTGTAGCAGCCACTTTAAGGGAATGTCCATGCCTCAGGGGATTTCAGAACAAAGGTCTTCACTTGGGGACTGCCTTCCTTCAGAGGTCCAAGATTCCAGCTTGTCTCTGAGGGCACTGGCCAGCAGGTGGTTCCTGTCAGGGGCTGGAAGGGGCTGGCCATATTGCACTGAGAGGTGGGATGCTCGGTCAGGGAGTCATCCCAGTTTCCATACTGTGCACAGGTGCCAGCACCCCAAGATGCACAAGCCCCTCTTCTAGGGACCTGCTGCTCCCCTACTCCTTGCCTTGGACAACCCTCGAGAGAGGTCCTGGAGTTGGCCTGTCGGTCGGTCAGGTGGGAAGCAGGCTGGTCACTCTGGAGGGCTCTGTCTGTTGCTAATGTGTATGTGGGACCACACCATGCGGAGTCCTCGATCTGCTGTTACCTCCCTGTGGGAGTCTGAGCTGAAACGTGACATAACGGGTCTTTAGAGCTGGCAAGGAGCTGCACTGCCCTTCCCTGGGCTGCATGCCAGGCTCAGATTCTGAGATTTGGTCTTGTTCTTGGTGGTGGGTCCTCCCTGACTTAATGAACCACAGGAAAGAAAAGCCTCATAATGAGGTTGCGGTGCCCTCCGGTCACCAGCCTCCTGGAGCTGAGCACCACCATCAGACAGTGGTGTGCCATGTGTGAGATCGAGCGCTGGACCAGGGTGCAGGGCTCTGGTCCCAGGTCATCACTCACTCACTCTGGAACCTCAGGGAAGGCCCAAGGCTCTGTGTCCTTCTTGCAAAAGGCAGGTGTTTACTGGACAGGCTGTGAAAGCAGGGCCAGCACTGAGGAGGCATTGTTTACTAATTAGAAAAATCTTCTCCAGATGATCAAAAAAACTTCATTCTCTTGCCATTTCTTACAAGTGTTGCAAATGTAGAAGGGGCTGAGCTGTGGCTACTGGTTTTCAGCAGAATCATGCTGACCCACTGAGAATTAGGCACTGCAGAAGAGTGCTCCGAAGAGTTGGAGCTGGACGTGAGCTTGGGCTTGTCCTTGACCCACAGGAGCCTGGGTGTCTCTGAAAGTTGGGCTGGTACTTAACCTGGTAGGCGGTGTGAGAACCAAACAAAGTGATTCACATGATAAGTACCTAGTAGATGCTTATTAAATAGAAAACCAAAGACAGTCATTTTCAGCTTTAAAAATAAATCAAATCTTACATGTATAATAGCTACTTAATTTTTTCCAACTTCCTTTATGAGTGTGCTGTCGCTTGGTGCAGCTTTATAAATAATTTTACATATTATCTAAACATTAGTCTGTTTGATTAAAAATATTGCATTGGCTTTCAATTTTTGTCTTGTGTTGTAAGAGGGATTTGTTGGGAAGCTAGCTTCTCACATCCTCGAGCTTTTGCTGGAGCCTTGCAGGAGAGGTATATCATCACCATGTACCTAGTCTTTTCATTAAAAGGAGGTAGCATGTTTCCACCTCGGGGCCTATGAATTATTCAGAGAAGTATTTCTCATTTTCTCCAAGGGGAACACATGAGACAAAAGATCAGATAGGAAAATCGCACCAGGAGAGTTTTCTGTTTCCCTGTTGGAGCTTTTCAAGACACCTGAGTCCCTGACAAACACAAGGTGCACAGCACAGGGGCCTGGCAAGCCAGGACCAGGGGGACAATGGGCCTGGCCTACCACACCCATGTGGCAGCCACTGACCCATAGAAAAGAGTGATGATAACAAATGAGTAAGTAGGTACATCCTGATATATTAGAAGAGTCACCAGATCAGAGGCAGGTTGAGCACATCAGGCCTACAGATTTTGAGGAGTTGAGATTCTTAAGTCATTAACTGCTCAGGGGGATTCCAAAGGATGGCTTGGCACACTCCTTGCCGACCTCAGGAATGATACACTTGGCCTGCATTCTCCCCGGCCTGCTCCCAGAGCCCACCCACTGCTGCAGGGACCCCCGCTACAGCCCAGGGCAGATTCTGACACTGTTGGACCTGCTGGTGCCCGTGGAGGGGCAATCCCTGGTGTCCCCAGACTCTTCAGCCCTGAGACACCCTACCCAGCTACACGGAAAAGACGTTTTCTGTGGCTGTGGATGGAGGAAGGGAGAAAAATGGCCCTGGCCATATACCCCAGGGGCAAGGGTTAAGGCCCCAGACTGGCCTGGGCTGTAGTCCCAGCACTGTCACTTACTGGCTTTGGGGTCATGAGCAAGTTACTCCCCCTCCATTTCCTCAGCCTCATAAATGGGCCAAGTCAGTACAAGAACCACATTTACTTGTTATGTCCCAGAAGTCCTGTCTTTGCCTTCACAGGAACCAGACTGGTTTGCAAACCCCTGAGTTAAGTGGAAGCAGGGACATCAGAGCCGCCCTTCAAGGCCTGAGTCTGGGGAAGAGACGGGCCCCAGGCTGAGGTGGAGAGGGAGGTGGAATCAGACACGGTGTGGACAGTCACCTGATAGCAGGGAGAAGACCATATGAGCAAGGGGTAGCAGGGAGGCTGTGCAGGTCAGGCTAGTCCAGAAAGCCCAGACCAGCAGGAGTTGGAAGACAGTGCCTCAGAAACCGTCATAGAAGCCACCAAGGTGGTCCCAAGGGAAGGAACAGATAGCAAAATAGATCACGGCCATGGAAAAAGCCCAGGATGGAAGGTGTGCCTGTCACAGCCCTGAGACTCCAAGGCCACACTGGAGGAACAGTTAGAGGGAGCTGTCCAGGAGGCAGGAAGCCACTGTCTGTCACAGGTGGAGACCAGGGGCTGATGGTGGCCCAGAGAAATGCAGAGAACAGACAGGAGCTTGGGCTGGCCGTGAGAACAGTTACCGACAGACTTCTGCGGGTATGAGTGGCAGCACGTGCCAGGTCGCCAGCTTGTCAGGGAGCTTTGGTTCATGCACATGTGAACGTGTTGACGTTGTTAAGAAGCAGCGCTGACTGGGGGCAGGCAGACCTCCTGGAAGAAAGCTGGAGGTCAGGCTTGACAAGAGAGATGGTGATTAAACTCTAGGGGAAGCTGGCAATTTTGTAATGGCTTTAGCCCTCATAGCTGCATTTAAATTCACACAGTGAGAAGGGAGAGGAGAGCCAGGTGTGCGGCAGCCTTGGTAATGAGTAGCACCGACAAGAGGGAAGGGAGCCGAGGGTGGGCAGGCCTTAAGGGAGCAGCAGCTGAAGGGCCCAGAAATCACAAAGGAACATGTTGACGGGAGGAATCAGAGTGATCAGGCTTTTCCCAGAAAATCTAAAGCCATGTTTTCGTATTAGTTTTGAACAAATGTATAAATTTACATTTATTTGCCTACCATGTTGAGAAGCCTTTCGCTCACAGGTCCCAAAATGAATTAATGAAGCAAAGAGCAGCTTCTTCCAAGCCAGTCAGTCTGTGTTCTGAGTGGAGGGAAGGAGGGAGAGGGGGGCAGTGGGACCGGGGAGCAGAAGACCGGCTGCCTGGCCAGACTTCCCAGGCCAAGGACAGAACTACCAGGACGGGGACAGACTCTGCAAACAGGGACATCTGGTTGCCCTCTGATAAGCCTCAGTCTGGGCTTCTGAGGGCATTGTGTGAGATTGGAAGGTAAGAAAGGAACAAGGGTTTTCAGGAGAGAGATGATGGTGGAAGGGAGCCAGGAGGGTTGCGTGGCTGGAAAGGAGGCTATGGCTGGGCTATGAGCATGGCTCCTGGATGTTAGCGGGGGCACAGTCTGCCTTCGTCACTTCTGACGGGTTGCAAAAGGTGCAGAACAGAAGCAGATGGCGGGATCAGCCAGGGCCTGGCAGAGGGGACTCCATGGAGTCAGGGGCAGAAGTAACCAAGGCAGTGTTGGAGAGGACCAGAGAACCATGGGAAGGGGACAGTGGAGGCACTGGTGACACAGCTGTGTGTCCACCCATATCAGGAAGGAGGAGGACCCATGTGTCCACCTGAGGATGGGCAGTCTCTACGACGAGTCTGCTGGGACAGTAAAAATGCTCTCTCAGCTGCTGCCAAGAGGTGAAGGGACCTAAATTGGAAGCACAAAGGGGTCGTCCCTTGAATGTGAGGTCCCCATGGCCTGGAAGGACAGAAAGCCATTGTGGGAGTAGAGAGGTGGTAAGCTGCGGGAAGGGGAAGACTGTGATGGAGCCATCCTGGGACAAGGGAGGGGCACTGGGAAGAGAGGGGTGACGGATGTGGCGATGTGGATGGAGGGGCAGGCGCCTGCGCGAGGGCTGTGGCAGGAGTGCTGTTCGCCTCAGCTGGGTCCTCGGGTTGGGGGTGCTGGAGCTGCTGGAAGGGGCACTGGGCTCAGTGGGAACCTGTGTTTCCAGTCCACATAGGAGCCCGACCTGTCTCCTGGGGCAGGACCGTGAGACAAGAAAGCCTCTGGGTTGGCTGGGTGGCTTTGGGCTAAGGCGTCACGCACAGCTCTGAGATTCCTGCCTGATCTCATGCACTCTGTCGCATCAGAAGTCTGGAGGGGCATCAAGTGAAACTGCTCCCGAGGTGGCTGCAGCCCTGTTCCCAGGCACCCCAGGAGTGGTGGACAGCTGAAGTCATGGTGCAGTGCTAGACAACGCCCTTCCTTCATGGTTCCTTCCCACACCCGAAGGCGGCCATGCTGACTGCAGACTGGGAAAGGGGCGCACCCCACAGGCTGCACTGGTGGGTCGTTTGGTAGACAGCAG